CTCACTTTAAGAAAATTTAACATATGCAAGACCCTAACTTACAAAATGAAAGTCTGGGAAAGCTTCACTTCATTCTGTTTATTATTTCAAATCAAGGTTCACAAGATTCTTGGACTAGGGAGAAAGAGACAGTGACTGAAACGTCAGAAGCTAATACATCAGAAAGACAGTGCTGGCCCTGCTTGCCGCGGCCCCATGTCCTGGCCATGCAGCACTCCTCTCTCATCCCTGGAGCCACAGTCCACCTATCTTGAGATCTTGTACTTACGGTCCTCACTCTGCCGCAACATGGGGCAAATCTCTGACAAAGGACTCACAGAGTTCAGAGGCGAGCAGGAGAGGTAACGTGCCCTCTGACACAGGTGCAGCAGAATCCCACCACAGCCAGGGTAGAAGAGGAAAGACCCTTTTACCTTCAAAAGCTCAATGTAATTGGGAAGGTTGAGAAGAGCCAGAGATGAGACTTAGAGAAGGAAGGATTCTTACTCAGGACTAATTCCATTGTCCTATTAATACCTGAATTTCTAGTGCCTCCCTCTGTGCCTAGCACACCACAGTGGGTTGCTAGATGTTCATTCCATAAACTGCTAGCCTGGAAAATCACAGCAGATAAGAAATAACTTCCAAAGGAACAATATTCTTAAAAGTTCCTTTTTTTTTCTATGCAGGTCAAAATGTATAAATTAGAAGACTAATGTAATTATTTTCATATTATGACATCCCAGATAACTATTTTGTTCATTAAAGCAAAGATAGAGAAATGTGATTTGTGTTGCAATAAAGCCTTGCTTTCTGCTGAATTACAAGTATGAAGCAACTTTTCTGAAGTTCCATATAGAACAAAGATTCTTCAACCTCAGGCCAAAGCTTGTAGCCTTTGCTCCTGTCACAGACACTGTGTGGTCCAAGAAGGCTTCCTCTGAACAATGTTTCTAAATGCATAAAGTAAGATTCATAGGGTTAAAAAAAAAAAGGACAATTCATCAGGTCACACATAAAAACAAATATATCAAAATTTGATTCTGACCAATGACCACAGTTGTAATCATGGGCAAACTGATAAATGATTTGAATTAAATGGAAAAAGTGCAAATACTTTTTGCCTACACATTCTGTGTATGTAGGATCTTAGTATTCCTATTATTAATAGAGCCTGTGACAGCTTGCCAAAGTCAGGACATTTAAGTAGCCCTAAAGGTTGTAAATGTGGAAAAGCTGCAGGCATCTCTTGTTCCTATTATGTGCATATACTAAAATCATTTCTAAAATAACTTTATCAGTACCAAATTAATAATGGTAAATTAATGCTGCGTTTGTATTACCACTAACATCTATACTGCTCCTCAAAGATGATGTCCATCCATCGTGTCCAACTTCCTTCCTGAAAGCAGGGCTCACAAACAGGAGCGCCAACCCAGCTGCAGCATGCTCCTGGTGCAACTCGCAGCTTCCCAGCTTTTCCTAAGTCTATAATTAAGCAGCACCTTCAGTTAAAGCTGTCCAGCCACAGTATCTGGTAGGTATTTTAGTAGCTAAATATCTTTGTAGGATAGCTTAACCCACTACTCTAAAGAAAAATATATTTGGGGGAAGCTCAGTTAAAGGGATGCTTCCCCTATTTCAGAAGGTTCCAAGAAGTCCCAGCAGGAAAGTGACTCTAATCTTGGCTTCTTAAAACAGATAAAAAGTGTTTTTGTTGTTGTTATTATTTGGTACCCAGGAATTTAACCCAGGGGCACTTAACTACTGAGCCCATTCTTAGCCTTTTCTTTTTTCTTTTTTTAACTTTAGAGACAGGATCTCACTGAGTAGCTAAATTGCTGAGACTGGCTTTGAACTTGAGATCCTGCTGCCTCAGCCTACCAAGCCACTGGGATTACAGGTGTACAGCACTGCACCCAGCTAAAAAGTTCTTTGCAAAATGTGTCTTCCTGAAACAAACTTCTAAGCTGTGGGTACCAAAACTGTATTTCTTGAACACATACAATGTAACATTTGAAACCAAACCATGTGAAAAATCTTGAGTCACAGTACATGCTGAAATCTTAAGAGTACTATACCTTTTATGGAAAAGAATAAACTAGGTAGAAAAGTGTGATACCATTAAAAGAGGAATTTTTTAAAAACTATTTTTTGCATCTTTCAGGGAAATAAACAATTTTTTAAGAAAATACATAGGGAGAAGGAAAGACCTGTTCCTGGTCTCTTCTTTTTTGCACTTGTAGAACTACCCAACTCCCAGTTAGTGTGACTCACGAACTTTTAAATCACCTTCACAGCTTATGACCAGTAATGACAAACCTCGACAGATTGTTTTAAAACAGCTCATTTCAAAAGCCTCTAAAATATTACACAAAAATCTTGTTTTTCAGACTGTAGTCCTACCTACAGTGAATCTACTTGAAGTTCTGACAACAGCAGATGAAGCCTATGTTACTTGCAGAGTAAGTGTGGCTCACTTTTCCCTTCTATTTTCTGGGTAGCCTACACCATCACCGTGGAATGGAAAGGGCAAAAAATGAACCCGAGTAAGCAAGCATCCGTTTAATCAAGCAGAAGTTCACCTCAACCAGAATGGTCAGCCCGGCTACTGCTTTCCAACAGTGAAACCAGCAAGCTTCTCAAAAGGACGCCAGCCAGACCGCAGTCTCAACTTCCTGAACCGCACGACGCCGCCTGCGGGGTGGCCCTGAAATCCCCGGGGGCGACACACCCCCTCCCCCGGGGCCGCGGAACCTCGCCCACGGCGCAGGG